GGGGGGTGGGCGGAGGAGGGCAAAAGGGAGAAAATGGGAGAGATCTGTAGATCTGTAATACTGTCAATAGTGAAATAAAATTTAAAGAGTACCGACCTCATGTTGTTTATGGGGATTCAATGGTAGAAGGTCTATTTAAAGTGTCTGGCATGTAGGTGGTAAGGGATCCATCAATGTTGGTTTCCATCATTATAGGTGGGAGGGCCACAAAAGTAGCCAGAGGGAGCCATACAAAGTTCTTGAGCAGGGAAGTATCTGTTCAGCTTTTTGGAGGCCACACAAGATGGGTAGATCATTGAGATGCCTTTGACAAGGCAGATTTGAGAAATGCCAGGCCCAGGGTGGGTGGTAGGAACAGAGGTAGAGGGGCATTTCCCAGTGGCTGAAGTAACTGCCACTTCTCAAGAACAAGCACGTTGCTTCGTGGTGTACCTGCTGTGTGCCTACGTGCCGGTGCAGTGGACGGCTCTTATTTGTGCTAGTTCTGCACCTGATGCTTCTTGTGCTAACTGCATCCCTATTTTTCTGGGGCAAGCATCCCTCCTCCCACTTACCCCCACACCATGTCCTTCAGGAGGGGTTGATCCCACCTGGTTCCTAGAGGAGCTCCATATAGCCAATCTGGCCAATGTTGTGATTGGCTCAGGCAAGGGCATGTGACCCAAATGGATGCAGTGAAAGCCAACTCTGAGACTTTGGAGGGAACTATTGGGGATCCGCTCTTGCTTTCCTGGTCAGATATGAGTTAGGAGCTGCATGGGACACTATGGGAAGAGAACTGTGAGAATGAAGCCATCACAGAGGGAAGCGGAGCTGAGATCGGAGAGACAGGTTATTGTTTGAGCACCTGGATCTAGTTATTCCCGTAATGAGGTACTACCCCAGGACTTTTCAGTATATCCTCCCCCCCTTTTCTTTTGTTTAACTTCAGGTTGAGTTATTTTTGTCACTTGTATCTGGAAAAGACCAGACTAATAAATTCAACCATTTACAAACTCCAAGAGACCCTTGGAGATTCCTTTTTTTTTCCTTCCTATTAGGGAAAACATTCTCTGCTCCTGTTTTTCTGCCAAGTTTAGGGTTTTCAGAGAGGTTTGGGGCAGAGAATGGAAAGCAAAGATGTGGGAAGTAACAGTCTTTCCAGCTCCAGCGTTGAGTTAACCCCTCCCAGCTAATTATACCACAGGGTTTGGGAGCAGAGCCCTTTTCATTAAACTTTTAGGAGTTTTGGAAGGATAGGCTGGAGTTATACCAGTGAAGCTGGGAGAGCTTGGTGTGTGCCAGGCATTGTGCTCAGGGACATACATGCATCATCTTCTGAAAGCTCATCTCAACTTCGTGGGGCATTACTGCCAGTCTCTCCTTTGCAGATTAAGTCAGGGCTCTCTGGCTCAGTCAAGTGACTTACTCAGGTTTTCCCAGTTTGTAACAGGTGAAGGCAAGACTTGAACTGAGATTTCCCTTCTCATAAGCCCTTGGTTTTTAACCATTAAACAAAACTGCTTAAGAGGTCTTGTCACCGATTACTACTTGGTACGTTTTTGGATTGGTGTCCACACTTTATCTGGATTATTTCATTGAGCCCTCCCAACATGCCTTAGTTGTTGGACCTTCCTGATTAAGGAGAAACAGACCCCTGGATACCTGACCTTAATCACGCAAAGGTTAGTGGAGATGCAAGACTCAACTCAGGGTCTCCGAGGAGCCTGGCTCTCCCAGAGACGTGGGCATTCACTGTGCCGCTTGTTCGCGCACGTGCTTGCACACCTCCACGACGGGGATCTCATCATCTTAGAGACGTCCTTCGCCCGGCACTTCTTGGGAGAAATTGCCTCCTGGCCCACACTCTCGCTCCAAGCCCAGTGCAGAGGATTAAGCAAAAGGAGCAGTGCGGAGAAGGGCCAAAGAACCTGGCCTGGGGTCGTCCGTAGTGCGGCAGGCGGCGGCGCCTAACCCAGAACGGCGAGCGCTCCAGTCCGGCTGGACGGGTGCAGAGGGGGTGGGCGCGACGCCGGGAATAGCGGCCTGCTCCG